TAACAAAGACTTGTTTTTAGGTGTCATGGAGTCAGTTCTTACTCACAGAGAATGAAACACTGCCTAGTCCTATGTCATTCTTATAATCTTTGCTATAATTTGAGCTCATTGTTTCATCTACTGTGTCAATTCATCTGAGTGACTTCCTCCTTTTTGCTGACCCTCTAACTTTGCCAAGCATGATGTCCTTCTCCAGAGACTGGTCCCTCCTGATAACATGTCCAAAATACATGAGAGGAAGTCTCACTATCCTCGCTTCTAAAGAGCACTGTGCTTGTACTTCTTCCAACACAGGTTTGTTTGTTCTTCTAGCAGTTCATGAAATATTCAATATTCTTCTCCAGTACTGTCATTCAAAGGCATCAATTCTTCTTCTGTTATTCTTATTCATTGCCCAGGTTTCACATACACATAAGGAGACTGTGTGTGGCTTGGGTCAGGCACATCTTAGTTTTCAGAGTGTCATCTTTGCTTGTTAACACTTTTGAAGCAGATTTGTTCAATGCAATAAGTCATTTGATTTCTTCACTGCTGCTTCCACGGGCAGTAATTGAGGAGCCAAGAAAAACAAAATCCTTAACAACTTTAATCTTTTCTCTCTTTATCATGATGTTGTTTATTGGTCCATTTGTAAGGATTTTTGCTTTCTTTGTTTAGGTGTAATCCATATTGAAGGAAATAAAGTCTTTGATCTTCTCCAGTAAGTATTATGAATCCTTTCCACTTTCAGTAAGCAAGGATGTCTCATCCACATATCATAGGTTAATGAGTCCTCCTCCATTCGTGATGCCATGTTCTTCATGTAGTCCAGCTTCTCAGATTATTTGCTCAGCAAATAGATTGAATAAATGCAGTAAAAGATACATACTTTCCCCAATTCTAAACCAGTCAATTTCCCCTTGTTCTGTTCAAACAACTGCCTCTTGGTCTATATACAGTTTCTGTTATGAACAAAGTGAAGTGTTCTAGTATTCCCATTCTTTGCAATATTTTCCATAATCCATTATGATTCACACAATAGAATGCCTTTGCATAGTCAATAAAACACAGCTAGACATCTTGCTGATGTTCTCTGTTTTCATCAAGATTCATCTGACATCAGCAATGATATCCCTTGTTTCACATTCTCTTCTGAATCTGGCTTGAATTTTTGGCAGTTCCTTAACATATTACTGCAAATATTTTTTAATGATCTGCTGCAAAATTTGCATATGATATTAATGATGTTGTTTGATAATTTCCTAATTCTGGCGGATTACTTTTCTTTGGAATAGACACAAATAGAGATCTCTTCTAGTCAGTTGGCTAGGTAGTTGCCTTCTAAATTTTTTGGAATAGATGAGTGTCTCCAGTGTTGTATCCTGTGTTGAAACATTTCAATTGACCTGCCATCAATTCCTGGGCCCCTGTTTTCTCCTAATGCCCTGAGATCAGCTTGGAAGTCTTCCTTAAATATCATCGGTTCTTTTGTTTTTCAACTTTTTATTGTGAATTGAGTGAAAGTTAACAGATATGATCATCAGCTGTACTTGTAACCAATCATACTTTTTATTTCATCTCAATGATTATACTCCCCTCCCTGCGACAAGTCATCCTCCTTCTTACCCTGTGGCTTTCCTTTTACATCTTATTTTTCACAAATGAACAAAGCAAAAATATTTGGTACATGCATACAAAACAAAAAATATATATTCATTTTAAAGTCCAAAGGGCCCGTTTTGAAAGCCAGCCTTCTGCCCACAGGCACGCAGCCTTTCTCAGTCCATAGATGCAGTTGATTTGATTCCTATGTATTACATCCATTGAGGTCCACATGCATAGCTACCATTTATGTTGTTGTAAAAAGATATTTGCAATGAATAAGGTGTTGGTCTTACAAAATCCTTGCTATCACCAAGCCCATGTTTTTCAACTACTGACCCTGCTTCTTTGTTTCCAATTTTTACATTCCAATCACTAGTAATTATTAAGCCATCTTGATTGAATGTTTGATCAATTTCAGACCAGAGAAGTTAGTAAAAAAGAAAAAATCTTCAATGTCTTCATTTTTGGTATTAGTGGTTGCTGCATACATTTGAATAATAGTTGCATTAACTGGTTATTATTAGTTAACTGGTCTTGCCTCTAGGTATATGGATGTTATCCTATCATGAAAGATTGGATAATTCAGGATAGATCTTGAAATTTTCTTTTTGGTGGTGAATGCTATGTCATTCCTGGAATAGCAAACCATATGATTGTCTGATTCACAATGGTCAATACCTATCTATTTAAGTTCATTAATGCCTAGGATATCACTCTTGATGCATTTCACTTTATTTTTTATAACTTCCAATTTTCCTAGATTCATACTTTGTACATTCCAATTATTAATAGATGCTTGCTCCTGTTTCTTCTAGTTTGAACGTGCCCCATCAGCAAATGAAGGTCCTGCAAGCTTTGCTCCATCCATATCATTAAGGTTAATTCTACTTTGAGGAGGCAGCTCTTCCCCAGTTGTATTTTGAATGCCTTTTATTCTAAGGTGCTAAGTTTCTGGCTGTATATTAGGCAATGTTCCATTGCTGTTCATAAAGGTTTCACTGGCCAGTTTTTTCAGAAGTAGATTGCCAGGTTCTGCTTCTTAGTCTTCTTAAGTCCTCTGAAACCTGTCCACTATGGGTGACCCTGCTGGTATTTGAAACAGTAGTACTATAGCTTTCAGCATCACAGTACAACACAAGTCACCAGAGTACAACAAACCGACAGACAAGTAGTGGTTACCAAAGATTAGTAGGTTACAATTTTTCTATAATGTCAGAGATTAGTTGTATGTAACATCTTCAAAGTTAGACATTGTTATCTCTAAGTGCCTTCCAGTTGGGTCACACTCATTGCAACCTAAGGCTTTACATCTTTGTGGGAGCAGAAAGCCTCATCTTTCTCCTGCAGAGCAACTAGTGGGATCGGTCTTCGGACATGTGGTTCACAGTCCTGTGCTTATTAAGGGGTTATTTATGATTTCCTTAATATCTCCTGTACACTTCACAGAGACTTGACTATATGTTACATTTTCTTTATCATAGCATGCAGGTACAAAGTCAATTTACAGAGACTGTTTAAAATGCACTTTATATACTTCTATTTTTCTATTTCTGAGTTCAAAATTTTTCTGTGCTGTAGATTAAACACTGGATCGCTGACTGCAAGGTCGGTGGTTCAAACCATCAAAGGGTAACTATGAGTTGGAATCAACTTGACAGCACTTAACACCTAACAACAACCTCACAGTAGAAGTGACATATGCCTATGTGGTTTAAGAGCATTACAGAAGCAAAAATATGAGGAAGATGCCCTGGTAGCGTAGTGGGTAGGGAGTTGGGCTGCTAACCGTAAGGTCAGTAGTTTGAGACTATCAGCCGCTCTTTAGGAGAAAGATGATGCTTTCTGCTCTAGTAAGGATTTACAGGCTCAGAAACCCTATACAGGGTCACTATGAGTCAGGCATATGCCCACCACGACCCCCACACATATGTGATTTGAGACATTATTTAAACATACATAGCATACATGCTTGCTAAAATTGGTCAATTGCATAAGTAAATGAATCAAGCTTCTTTGAAGGCAGTGATATGAACTAAACAGTTTGGGTAAACAGGCCCTGTTTGAGTGGCAGTTCCTCTGCAGACTAGCACATCCCCGTCATAGACAGGACACTGGGCTGCTCTGAGCCTCATTTTCCTTAGCTTTAAAACAGAATTGAACTCACCTGCCTCACAGGGTTGTTAGGAGAATCATGTTTGCAAACGTGCACAGTAAATAGAATTTCTGTTGGCTGGATTAGAAGTGTGAGAAGATACCAGAAGTACCTTCAAGGTCATACGTCTCACTGTGGGGATAGGATTGACCCCTATCTAGAAACTAGGTAACAGGGAAAGGTGGTTTGTGCTGCACCCCTAACAGCAATGTGGATATTGCTTCAAAGGAATTTGGAGGAAGCAGAGAGAGCTGAGTTGGTTGGGAGTTTGGGGAAGAGGTGGGGGCTTGACGTTTAAAGGGGTGGGGAGGGGACAGTTTGGAGATACAAAGAAGTGTAGGGTGGGCACAGAAGCTGGTGGGCTTGTGGGTCAGGGGGTGCAGGAGTCTGCCTAGATTCAAATGGAACATTTGGGTAGGAGATGGTGGTGTGGCTGAATATTAGACTGAATGAGGCAGAAGGAGAGAGAATACGGCCGCTCTGGAGAGTCCCTGAGTTAACGCACTCACTGCTAACTGAAAAGTTCAAGTCCATCCAGAGGCACCTTGGAAGAAAGGCCTGGCGCTCTGCCACTGAAAACCCTGCCGAGAGCAGTTCTACTCACGGAGTTGCCGTGAGTCAGAGTCTAGTCAACTGGTTTTTGGTTTTGAAAGGCATGTGTCCAGTGCACGTTCTGGGTGTTTTAGTGAACTACTACATATTGGCAACTGAGGCCTTGGGGTTCCTAAAACAGATGTTGTTATTCCTGTTATAGCTTCTTGGCCTCTCTTAAAAAATGTACACCAGTATGTTAAAGTCTCTCAAATATAGGACAGAAGCCTGTTTAATTTTGTTCCCAGAACTTTCCAGACACATTCGGTCCTGGAGTGTATCTGTGTTGTGTGTGTAGCACCTCATGAGATCAGTCTTCCAAAGAACAACTTTTGTTGTTGTAGGGGCAAATGCATGGGTTTGGGGACCCATATGGGCATGGTTCAAATCTTGGTCTATGACCTAATAGGTGTTGGAGTGTAAGCATCCTTTTCTCACGGATGCTGTGAGGATTAGGAAAACGATGTGGTTAAACTGCATGTGGTTATCTCTCTGGTTTTGCTGCATGCCTGGCCTGACCCTTTCCCTTAATGAGAATACACTCTCTGTTACAGGTTCCCTATGGGCTGCTGAAGGTTAAATAATGGGGTTCGTGGGACCTTGACTGAAGTTTTCCTGCAGAAGCACAATGGCTGATGTCCCCTCTCTTGGTGCTGTCATTGGCCTTGGCACAATGGATGATAGAAATGCCCTGGCATACACAGAGGGTCAGATTAAAGCTCCAGAAGCCCAGCCAAGTCCTAGTCTGAGGACCACCAACAAGAAGGCTGATGTTGAGCCCACCACATCAGAAACCAGTCAGGTAGGGACCTATGCCTCATGTTTGAGCCCCTTCCCTGCCCCTGCCTGGACCTCCTCCCATCATGCTTTATTAAAGACTCAGCTACAGAGCCCAATTCAAACTGGATCAAGCACGAATGAGAATTAACAGCTTGGATAACTGACAAATCCAGCAGTAGACTTCAGGTATGGCTGGATCAAGGTGCTAAACAAATATCTCTTTGCTCTGTCTTCATCTTTGTTGGCTTCATTCTGAGGCAAGCTTTCCCTACAAGATGGCAAGGATGGTCCTAGCCACTCAGGGTCACATCTTTCTGTCTTACCTCCTCTATCTTAGCATCTGCAGAGGAAGAGAACTTCTTTGTAATAGTTAAACTGGTCTCTGGTGTCATTGTCATTTGCTCAGATTGTGGTCACATGCTCAGACCAGAGTCAGTCACCAGGGTGGTAGGCAGTGGGGGTGATGGTCTGGATTTCCTGGTACACTGGAATCAGGGCTGGTGATCACTCAGCCCCACTGAGCCCCATGACTTCGTGGAGAAGTGAGAATTCCCACAAAAAGAATGCTGGCTTCTGTTATCAGAAGAGATTCTGTGAACAAAACAAGAATGGGAAACATTACAGAAATGACTTATACTCCTAGGTCCTCTTCATGGCCTGTAGCCCTCGGAATAACCTTTATTTCCCCAGACTGATGCTCAAGGATTCCATCCACCCCTCTCCACTCTCCAATCCCCTGCCTGCATCCCAAGTTTCCAACACACTCCTCGGCCTTTTATCCATCAAATATATGTCTTTTTGAAAGTGCCAAGTACATGAAATGAATCACACAGAGAAGACTCTTTCTCCCAACCCAGATTCCCCAGGACCCAAAGTGTCACCATAACAAAGTCATACAGACCCTGTAGCCTCTGGTACAGATCATGGCTTCCAGCGAGGGAAGAGAGAAGGCCTGGAGGGGAGATGTCTTGGAGGAGCCTGAGGCAAATATTCAGGGCTTCCTTCACTCACTCATCCATTTATTAAATAAATACAGTTGTGGGGTTCCAGTTCTGCCACTTAACCTGCTCCATGACCTCAGGCATACCACTGTGCCCATCTGATCCTCATTTATGTCCTGGTGATGGCTCACTGTTGGTGTTGGATCACATCATAACTCTTTGCTATAAGCATTATCTATGAATTGAGTCAGGTCCTTGGGGGTTTGCAGATTCAGGTGAGATTGGGCGCTGTCTCAGTGTTATCCACCCAGAGAGTGATAGATCAAGATGAGAATGGAAGGCTGGTTCCAGAGCCTGTGCTCTGGAGAGTACAATTGTGAAAAGCCCCTCTTGGTCCTGCAAGGGTTTTGAGGTCCCCTAGAAGCCATTTGAACTGCAAGGTCGGCAGTTCAAGCTTACCCGCTGCTCCTTGGAAACCCTACACAGGGTCGTTATGGGTCGGAACTGACTTGATGGCACTTAACAACAACAGAATGCTCTCTGGAGCTGCTTTCAGGGTAATCCACTCCACTGAGGGGCTGATCTGGACCCAAGACTCGTGTCAGAGCTTCCAGTGCTGACTGGCAGTTTGGGGACTGGGTTAGACCGAAGCTGCCTCTTTTTTTTTTTCCAATATTTTATTGTGAATTATGTGATAGTTTACATAGGAGAACATTAGTTTTACATTCATCCTATAGTATATCATTTCATTGCTATGGTTACAATCCCCTCCATGCATCATCAACCAACCAAAGGGTATACACTGCA